GAGTGGGGAGGGAGGGGAAAAGGTGAGGAGCTGATGCCAGGGGCTTGGGTGGAGAGCAAATTATTTTGAGAAAGATGAGGGAAATGAATGTACAAATGTGCCTTACACAAATGTATGGATTGTGATAAGAGTTGTATGAGCCCCTAATAAAACTATTTTTTAAAAAAAGGTAAGTCTTACAAAAGCCGTTTACGTAAGAGAGACTTTGCTGTCTATATTGCGCCCCGCCCCCCACTCCTGGCGGGCCTTATGGAGGCATGGATGGTTGGCTATCATCGGTCTCCCCTGAAGGTTCCCATCTTTTAGTACGTTGGACTTGGTCGTTGTTTTTCGTCCACCCCCGTCTGCCGAGAGCATCCTCCCCTCCCTAAATCACTGGCCCGTGAGGGTCCATTTCTATTCGGGGACTGTTCCGCCCAGACTAATCCAACCCCCTGAGAATCTTTTTCTTCGGACCTCAAACTTGGGGTGGAAGGTCGGAGTCATGCCCAGCATCCTGCACAATCGCAATGCCTCGATGCCGCCCCGAGTCGCGCCCTGGCTCCTAAATGCACTTCCCCAGCACCCACCCTCCATCCTCTCACCGGTCTCCAATCTTCCCTTTTTCTCCTCCTCGGGGCAGTCCCGATTTTTGGCGTTTTTGGAAAGAATGCACAAGCTAGGGAACGGTCTGTTTGGTCCATATAGACCAAATGTTTAATCAAGAACACCCCCTCCGCCCCCGGTCAATGGTGTCCCGCTTTAAATCTGGTCACCTTATCTCTCGGGGCCGGCGGCGAACGTCACGCCTGACGAGGCTCGTGCCCCGGAAAGTGGGCACTTAGGTGGCAATGCCGCCAGACCCTCTTCTCAGAAGACCTTGTCATTATACCCGTAGTGATTCCCAAGTACAATTTCCGGTCAGCGCCGTCTACCGCAGTCGTGACCCGCCGATTTCTATGACGACTTCCGCCTGCGTTCCCGGTCGCGCGGGGTGACGTAGGAAGCGCTTCCGGTTCCGGCGTCTGCGGCCTGAAAAGGGTTGATTGCCTTTCCCTCACTTTGGCCCCCTTTTTCTGCCGAAGTGGAGCGGCTTTCTCCGGGTTCACACATGAACAGTGGCTGTAACCATGCGATCACAGTTGTGAGGGTGGCGCAGCCCGCGGCAGGGTGTCTGTCCCCACGGACGCAAAGGCACCCAAACACTTCCTCACGTGCACCCGCTCTCTGCGGGCCACGTAGGCTTGTCCTGCGGCTACGGGACTAGGAATCTCGAGATTGGCAGTCTTCATAGAGGGCACCGCGAGATTCGGACAGCGCATGCTTTAAACGAACCTGACCTGTCCGAGTGGCGGAGGTCTTGTTTTACGGCAGGCAGGCAGCCTGGAGCTGCCGGCTCATTCTTGGAACTCATTGTGATGGCGGAGCCTTTACCTGTCTTTAATGGCTGGGGAACCACCCTCCTAGGTAACCTGTGCGTTTTGTTTCTGCAACTTATAACAGCAGCAAAACCCCTGGTAGTGAGTTGATTGCAACTTAAATCTACTCTGTAGGACAGAGCATCTACTTTATAGGGCAGAGTAGAACTGCACCTTTGGGTTAGCCAAAATTTGAATCTTGACAAGAACAGAAAAGACGCATATTTCTCCAGGTGGCTGATGGATCCAAACTGCTGACCCTGGTGTTGGCAGCCCGATACTATGCGTCGGAAGATAGGCAGTGGGGTGCAACATCAATGCTCTTTATTAATCCCAAGATTCCAGTGTAGTATTTCATGGGAATCTCATTTAATATAACCCTCCTGAAGTGGCTCATCAGTTTTGCCATCCTACTTAAAATGAGTCATCCCAGAAACAGCAAGGCAGATATCAGAACCACCAGAAAGAAGAGTCGGGTGTGGAATGTGCCATTTGGACCAGATCACTGTGTTGAGAAACGCCTTGAACCAGGAGGCACATACCTAAAACACATTGCCGCCACAGTGAAACACAGTAGAGTGGCAGAGGAACCGCAGCACTTGGCGAAAGCTGAGTGCCTCCTGGCAAGATACACGCAGAAGCTGTGAGGGCCTCTGGAGACGGGTTTACTCACACACACACACACACACACACACCCGTAGAGCTACAGTTGAGCACCTGTGGGTTGAGGCTTACTGGTGGAGTAGGGTGGCCCTGGGGACTTAAAAGCACAGTTAAAGGATTTGTAACACTTACCAAGCAGGGAAGTTGCCAAAAGACTAAAGGGCTTGAGAGAATATTGCTCAGACTGAGGCTCCTTCGAGCACTACTAAGATGAGGCTGCCTTGATTGAAAAGTCATTTCTGATCCTGAATGGTAAGTGGGTATTTTTGATAAACCCATTATCTTCAATAACGTGTTACTGCTGGAACCATTGTGATGAGTGCTGAAACCCAAAGAAATACAGAGTGCCATGAGAGGGAGAGGGAGTGTCCAAATTCATAAAAAGGTCACACAGTGAAGGCATGTCTGACCTCTCTCTCATATAAGTCACCTGAGTGGTTGATCTTAATCCTCCCACTATCCTTGTTGTGAAGTCGAAAGCAGCCCGGGCAAACGTGGCTGCTTCCCTAACCACCACACCCACGTCCTGTACTAATGGACAGGCCTCAAATTTCTGCTCTACAAGCAACTAGGCAGACCTTCTTGGGAGTCTCTTTGGAGCATGCCAGTATCTAATCCACCTGGACACTGTCACCTTCAAGGCTGCAGCAAGTTATTCCAGAAGAAACCCTGCAGTGGAATAACTTCGGATAATCAATTCTCTACCCACCACCCTATTCACCCCATAGCTTGAAGCTGCTATGATCAATAGGACAGATATCCCCGATGGTCCATTTAGGTTGCTCTGTTGTCATTTGGATTCTTGCAGAGGTCTGCTGTAAGGTAGTGTAAATCCTACATCCAGGGCGTAAAACTCTTGTTAGTGGCCTATGGTTACAAGCCAGACCTACTTCAGAGAATGGTGGCTTCTCCCTCAGCCAGATACAAACCACTCAAATCTTCAGAAATTGTTACGGAAGGCACCTTCTATTGGAGACAGTTCTCATCATCAGCATTACAGTTTCCACCCTGAACATCCCACAGTTCTGGCCTCTCAGGTCAACAGGACAGACCTCCCTGGGTGTCAGTTTTGCTAAGTCTACCACTTCTGGCTGAGACTGCTGTGTGATAGAAAGGTGGTGGTGTGGGTACAGGTTGTGCTTGCAGCCAAGAAACTGTCATGGGGCTGGAAGGTAAGTGCTTCTATATCAACATAGGAAACTATCCCTGGGATCCAATTGGAGCATGACACGAAATATTTACCTTACTCATCAAATGACTTGGCTGTCAGGTTATGGCAAACTGTTAAGAAGTTGAGAGTATTCATATACACCAGACTTGCTGTATGAAAATAATGGGAGTTCTGCATATGAAAGGGAAACCTAAAAGTTACTCAAAACCA